CTAATCTTCAACATGTCAGTAATTACACAAAAGGCGATTTTTTCAATCCAATAGTTCTCTAGCATATTGTTTTCTGCCCAATTTTTCTTAAACAATTATATCAAAAATTCATGATCTAACTTGTTATTACTTTGTTTTCATTTGATAATTGTTTGAACAAGTTGTATAGCATTTTATAATGGAATTTCATTCAAAGAAGATGACCTAAGATCGCAACTATATAAATTACATTTGTATAATATAAGAGTATAAGCAAGAATTTCAATGTTATCAAAATAATATTAATGGCAATCTTTATGCACTTTAAGAGGATTATCTTTCTACTTCTTGAGAATATATTAAATAATAGAAAATCTTATAGGGATTAAATGAATAAACTTTAAAATTATTAACTCTATATTTTATGTATATTCAATTTGAAGTTATAGCAAAATTAATCAAAATATATTTTTATAAATAGTATCAAAAATAAAATATTCATCGTATTGATTTATTTCTAGTATTTTCTGATAAAGCAACAAATGACTTTAAAGTGTGAGTTTTTATGAATAGTTAATTCTAGAATTTTTTATTTACAAATTAATGGAATTAGATCGATGAGATAATTAAATTTCAGACTAATTTTATATATCAAAATTATGTGAGTTTTTAATAAAAATATGATACTTCAATTCAAATGTGAAAGATTACATTATATTCTAAATACTCACTATATTGTAACAGTATATAATGACAAACTGACTATTGGCAATAACGTAAAGTTTGTATGTTTATATAAATTAGAGTCATCCTAAATATGAGTATAAATTTACACTTGAAAATATTTTACACTGGTATGTGGACAACCTAAAGCTTCAAGCTTTTGGAATCGAGTACAATAAAATAATCAAGTTTTTTAAAGCCAATAATAAAGATTTAGAATAATTGAGAAGCTTGTGTAGGAATCTCATATGTTTTGATAATATTGTCGAATTATACAAATAAATCGATATTAATGACCCATCAAAGTTATAAGATTAAATATCCCTTTAATTATGCAGCATGAAAGTATTAAGCTAGTAGCAGTTGTTAAAAGAGGTTCCAATAATTAGATAATTGAATCATCATGGAATAATTTCATACCGTGAATGCTTTCAATATAAAAATCAATATTATATTGTAACAGAATTTGTTGGAGGAATAACATTACAAAAATTCATAATTTAAAATCCTAAGTTGAGTCATCTATAATGTAGAGCAATAATACTTGTATATATTCTTGTTTTATAGAAGTAACTACTTAAGGTTGTGAAATATTTACATGAACATTACGTCATTCATGCGACAATCGATATTTGTCACATTATCTATAAATCAGATTTTATCAAAATTATTGATTTTTCTGAAGCCATACACTCTAATATAATAGATGATAAGGATATTAAGAATTGTGGCCGAATTTTATTTCATTTGTATTAAATATCTTAATCTTATTTAGGTATACTGCAAAAGAATATAATGAAAAAGATCAAGAATTAAATTATAAATGTCTTTAAAATGCATAGACACCAAAATTAGCATAGGAACTTATTTTTATTATGATGTCTGATAAAAATATAAGCATTTCTATGATTTTAGAACATCCATATTTCTCATTTTCTTTAGATTCAGAAGAGAGAAAGAAAAGATTTTAAAAATTTTAAAGAGTATAAAGATCAACTTCAGAAATGGATGAAAATGATGCTATTTCTTAGAGTATACCAGAATTGTAAACAAATAAAAGTAAATCATTAAGATAATTAATGTGAAAAAGTATATTATTATCATTATTATATTAATATTAAAATAATTATTAATGTAAGCAGATTAATAGTACCCTTAAATAGATGTTAAAGATTTTAAAGCATTTGCTGTTTGGAGATGGAAGGCTGAATAAGTAATAAGAATAATTGATAATAATAGTTAAATTAAAATTGTTGTTCATGTAAAAAGTTAATGACTGAACCATGTATTGATTGTGAAGTGATTAATAATGAAAATGAAGATCAAAATAAATGTATAGCTGTTTAGAGTGGAAATTGTGGTCATGCTTTACATTAACATTGTATACGTAAATGGATTCAAACCAAAAGTTAAGGTGGAACATAAGGTACATGTCCAATGTGTGACTTAAGTTGGGAAATAACAAATGAAGTTGAATTATAGAATTGATATCCTTAACAGAATAATTATTATAGAATTTTTAATTTAAAATTATATATTTTTATTAATATTAAGAGAGTAATAAATACTATTATATATATATATATGAATTTGAATTTACACAATAATTTTAGATTTTGAGTATCAATAAATAGGTTTTTGAAACAAATAATAAAGGTATTGGATAATTAATTATAAATATAAACATAATTATATGATTTATTAACAATATTAATTAAAATAAAATTCAAATTTTCATGAACAGAAATAAATAACAACCTTAAAGATAAATTGCTCCTTAAAGAAAAGCTCGTTCTGAACTTAATGAAGAATAAAAACAAGAAATTAAAGAAGCATTTGATTTATTTGACACTGATGGCACTGGATATATTGATGTTAAAGGTACTATTATATATATATATATTTTATTAGAACTTAAAGTGGCTATGCGAGCTTTAGGTTTTGAAACAAAAAAAGAAGAAGTTAAATAGATGATTAAAGAAGTTGATCGTGAAGGAAAAGGAGTTATTGAATTTCCTGATTTTCTCGAATTAATGACTGTCAAAATGGTAAAAAATACTTAATATATATTGACAGGGTGAAAGAGATCCAAGAGAAGAGATGCTAAAAGCATTTCGTTTATTTGATGATGATAACACAGGAAAAATCACATTGAAAAATTTAAAAAGAGTTGCAAGAGAATTAGGAGAAACAATGACAGATGATGAATTATAAGAAATGATTGATGAAGCTGATAGAGATGGTGATGGAGAAATAAGTGAGGAAGACTTTATTAGAATAATGAAGAAGACCAACTTATTTTGAAAATTAGTTAATATAATTATATAATAATAATGGCATTTGTATATTAAGCTTAACGAGATTTAAACTAATTATTGACTTCTGTTACATCTAATGTATCATTATTCTATTTTTTATATAGATTGGTCCTGGTTCTTATATGAAACAATAGAAAAAAAAAATCAAATAATCTCTTGCTCCTTTTAATACAAAATCTAATAGACATAATCCATTAAAAAACTCATCATATCCAGGTCCAGGAACTTATAGTATAAATTTTGCAAATTCAGGGTACATAACTATTTAAAGAGTAGGTAGAAATTGTTAATACAATCTAATCAATCAGAACTAAAAATTCTTGAAATTCATAAATAACAGTCAGTTTTTGCATCCAAATGTAAGCGTTTTTAAGAAGTTAATACAAATGATATTCCAGGGTAGAGTCTTGTATTTGATATCTTAGTCCTGGTTCATATAAATAAGAATAAATTTAACGACAATAATATCAAAAGGGATCATCTGATTAATTTATAGAGTCACTTTTGAAATTAAATAGAAATAAATCAATTCCATCAATCCCAACTAATGAATAAGTATATGGTTATATTGATGGTGGAAGTATACATATAATAATCTATTTTAATACATTTCAGCATTGTAATTAAATAAGAGTCCAAAAGATATTATTTCAGGATTAAAGAATGATTCAGTAGGTCCTGGTCATTATGAATTATAGAATTCATTTGATTTGAATAAAGAGAAAGGAGTTAATTGGCATTCTTCAAAATAACCAAAAATTGCACCTGTTATTTCTAAAGATTAAAAAATGATAGTTGGACCAGGAGCATATGAAATTGAAAATGAGAATCAGCCATTATATAAATTGATGCCTTCAGGATCTTTTCAATCTAATACATCTAGATTCAATAATTTAGATAAAGGATAAAGAAGTAAATAATTACTTAAACTTTAATTTGAGAAGTAGAAATCAAAATTACTTCAAGATTCATAATTTGAAGATTTGAAAAATGAATAATTTGAGTAATCCTAAGTAATAAATAAATAAAAAATAATAGAATGATATTATTGGACCTGGATATTATTTTAAAGATTAGAGTACTATATCTACTAAATCTACTTCAAAATTAGAAACATAATGTTTTGGATCAAAATTAAAAAGATTTTAAAGTGATTCAAATTTAATAACTATTGGGCCTGGAGATTATAAAATTGAAACTTAATTATCAAATAACAGTTTTGCATTAAAATAACCACCTTTTTTATCTTCTAATACTCGTTTTGAATAAAAATAATTAAATAGAAAAATTGGACCATAATCTTATCATATCAATTAGAGTGTAAGGCAATAAGATATTTCATCTAGTTGGAATATGATTTAATTAAAAAACTTGAAAGATCTCCAGTTGGTAAATTTGGATACAATTAACCTAGATTTATAGATAATCAAAATTAAGAATAAATACCTGGTCCAGGATACTATGATTATTTAAATTAATCTCCATAATAAGGTGCTCAAAATATATTTAAATCTTAAACAAAAAGGATTGATCCAACTATATTAAGTAAATCAGAAATACCTGCACCTAGTTAATATAATCCTAGAAATCATACTATAGAATATAATGTAAATAAAGATTATGATGATATTGAATTTGAAATAAAGAGACCTCCATTTTAATCGTCATTACCTCGATTTTAAAATAAAGTAGATATCAAAATTGATGAATTGGATGAAGAAGTATATTTGAAAAAATAGAATCAAAAAAGATAAGATCATAAAATACTCTATAAATAAAAATAACCATCACCACCATTTAATGTTCAAGTATTTAATATAATTATTTTTTTAATAGGAAAAACGATTTTAATATGGTAAATTAATTGTATAATCTCCTGGTCCTGGAGAATATAATGAATCAACATAAATATCATGGGATAAACTATCATTTAATGTTCAATTTTCTTAGATTTGAGTAAATAACATATATTAAACGATATCATTTCTTAAATAATCTATATCCTGATCTTGTATGTTAATGAAACTTTCTATTTTATGGCATGCTTTCTGTAATTTTAAATTATTTGGAAAGAGAAACACTTGCTTATTAGGATCGATGAGTTTAAATACTATATAAATAAAATAATTATACTTAAGTTTTTATTTAGTTTAAATTGTATGAGGTGAATTCATTGTATAAATATGAACAGGACTAAGTATTTTAGATAGAGGATCCTTTATAATTCTATGTGTAGATGGACCATTTTATATTATTAATGGTTCATCTTTAAGTATTTTTGGAGATAAATGAAATGTTTATTAATTTTTCGAATTTTTTTATATAATCTATTTGATAGTTTATTGACTGACTCCAAATGGAATTCTATTAAATGTTTTAGGTGAATGCAATTAAATATGTGATTAAATTTTTGGTTTTTGTTTTTCAACTAAGTAATGTATAAAATTTTGTAATTATTCTTCTTCTCTATTAGAAGGTTAAAGAATTAATTCTCCTGTGTTAATTTAAATACCTTCTAATTTTTTATTAATTGCTTCAATAGTTGTAGAATTATCAACTATATCTTTTAGTATTTTACTGTAAACTTAATCTTGAATTTTAGGAGATGTAGGTTTAAGTTCTTCTGGTTAATCACCAGCAATTGCTTTTTTAGGTTTATTTGGATTTTTACGATTTTCTTCTTCAATAATACGTTTAATTCTATAATATTCAACTCTTCTTTTCTTATCATGATAACTAACTTATGTATAATCTTGAGATACTTGCTCATAATATTGCTTATTTTATCCATAAATAATCTTGGAATCTCATTATGATATTTGTAGTACTCAGTAAATAACTGAAGTTTATCTCTTATTTCATCTAACAATTTTTGTTTAATTTATACTGGCAAAATAGAACCGTCTCAAATATTCCAAATTTTCATTGTAAGCCATAGCTTAATAAAACTCTATCACTTCTTTTGTTCTAGCTGAATTTATAAAATTATTGAGAGTCCATGAGTAATAATATGATTGACAATTAGAATATTTCTTTTGGAGTAGTATTTGAACATTGTACTAATTTGCCATTGATATTTATGTTATGATATTCAATTTTATATAATTTATTCATTAAATATAGGATAGATTAAATAAAAATACTAATTCAATTGGAACCTAACTTATACCACATCTATCTTAAATCATCTTTAGTTTTTGTCTTAATTTCATAAGCAATTTCAGTCCATCTGATAATTGAATTCAATTATTTTGGAATTTAAACTACTGATTTTATAGTATCGAATGTTTCTCTATCAAAATCATTCATCTTTCTAAAATTTAGACAAAATTTAGTTTCAATGAACTAATCACCAAATTTAGTCTAAAGTATTGAATCATAATTTGAAATAAGAAGTATTTATTATGTTAAACTCTGTATTTATTTCATTAATATTAAAAATTCTCCTATTTTTTTCTAATATTATCAGGTGTTCGATTAAAATGCTTACTTATTTCCCTCCATTTTCTTCCATATTATTATACATATTTGATTAAGTCTGCCTCCTCATTCTTATTCCAATATCCTTATCTATTTTTGCTATCATATTTTCTTCGAATTAATTTATAAATAGAATCAACACTTCTATTAGGTATTTATTTTGCAATAGTAAGCCACATCTTAGAGAGTCCAAAAGACTTTAATTCAATATATTCTTATAAATCTTAATCATTTAAATTGTTTTACAATATATATTCATTGACAACCTTCATAATATAGTCTACTTCCTCTTATGAAAACTTTCCTACTTTTATTTCTGAGAGATTAACAACACAATCTAATCTTTTATGCCAAGATCTACTTTTACATTATTCTATTCTATTTTAATCAATTTGTTATTCTTATGGAGTTTTATCTATTTTTTATATATTACTATTATATGATATCTGTTCTTTTGAATTGAAAAGATCCTCATATTCTTTTTTATGTTATTGGTGCTTATTTCTAAGTTTACTAGATTATTTTTGATTTTTTTTCATTTTAAAGTTAAAATAAATTATTTGACTGAATAATTATTTCAATTACGCACTAAACATGCATCCTACAACACAAATGCTAGAAAATGCAAGAGAACGTGTAACATTTCCAATTGAAGAATTAACAAAGCTTATTTATGTTAATGAAGAGATATATGAGACATTTATGAAGGCTTAAAAGATAATAGCAAATGAGCCTACTATTCGCAATCATCCAGATTATCATAATTGGAGTCGCAAACAATAAATCATAAAGTCTTATGAAAAATTGAGGATTATGCATTAGCATTTCAATTTGGCTAATGCTGTTCACTGGGCTCCTCTTTTAAGCATATTTTAAGGTACAACACCAACAGCAGTATCATTTGCAATGACAGTTCCTGCCTTAAGATTTCTAGGAACAGATGAATAATTCAACTTATGGGGACCTAAATTCTTAACAATGGAAATTGTTGCTGCCTATGCATAAACAGAAATAGGTCATGGAAGTGATGTATAGAATTTAGAAACTACAGCTACATATGATCCTTAGAGTAATGATTTTATACTACATACTCCATCTGTATCTGCAGTTAAATGTAAATGAATATAGAAATTTAAATAGTTTGGCCTGGTGAATTAGGTTTTCTATCAAATTATGCACTGGTCTATGCCAAGCTCATATTTAATGGTAAGAATAAAGGAGTCCATCCTTTTATGGTTTAAATTAGAGATAATTTCACACATAAAACATTAAAAGGAGTAACAGTTGGAGATATTGGGCCAAAATTAGGTTATTCAACCAAGGACAATGGATTTTTGGCATTTGACAATTATAGAATTCCTTTAAATAGTATGTTGGCTAGATATGTAAGAATAGAGAATGGATAATTTTCAAGACATGGAAATGAAAAGGTTAATATATTGAATTTATTATTAGATATCATATGCATCTATGATGGTATCTAGATAATTGATTATATTCATTTATCCAAGAATGGCTGCTTAAGCTCTTACAGTGGCAATCAGATATTCAATAACTAGATAACAATTCACAAATGATAAGGGTGTTGAGAATTCAGTTATTGAATATCAAACTTAATAAGATAAATTGTTACCAAGATTAGCTACTTGTTATGGAATGATTTTTACAGGAATAAGAATAATGCAATTAGTTGATGATAATTTCCATAGAGTATAAAAGAAGGATTTTAGTACATTATAGTAATCACATGCTATTTTAAGGTAATTTATAGATGATAACAATTTTAAGTGCAATTAAAGCATATTCATCTTAATGGGTAGTAGATACAACAGAATGGTGTAGATTATCTTGTGGTGGTCATGGATATGCACATTATTCTGGTATACCAGCAGTATATTTTGATACTGCTCCAAATGTTACATTAGAAGGAGAAAATTAAGTTATGTATTTATAAGTGGCTAGATACTTACTTAAAGTTTTATAATATGCAGAAAAGAATCCAGAGAAAGTACCATTTTATTTTAGTTTTGTATTATAAATCAAAGACACTTTAAATAATAAAGATTTAAGTAATTAATTAATAAAACATAATTTATAGGCAATATAAATACTTAATTAGGTTATTTACTTAAATTATCTCTTACAATTCAATTAATATAAGTTGGTAAAAGAATTAAAGACTTAATGAATACAGGTAAGACATTCTAATAAGTCTGGAATTAACATGTTGGTATTCACTTGTTATCACTTGCTTAAAGATATGCTGAATATTTCATTTATCTTGTTTTTTAAGAATATATTTCGAATGCTAATTAATCTGTTAAAGATATATTATAATCACTTTGTGATTTATATTGTGTATAAACTATTTTGGATAATTCAAGTACACTTATTGAATCTGGTTAAATTACATAAGAATAATTAAAATCTTTGAATGAATTAAAAATTGAATTGTTTACTAAGATTAAACCATAAGCAATTGGATTAGTTGAAGCATTTAATTTTAATGACAATGCTCTTAGAACTTGTATTGGATGTCATGATGGAAAACCATATGAATATATTTATGATTGGGCAACAAAAGAGAATTCAGTCAATAAGGTACCATAAGCAGTAATTGATTTAATGGGTACAAAAATAAAACCAAAATTGTGATATTAACAATATATTAATTTAAAAAATGAAAAGAAATATTCAAAAAAACATATCAAATTTATTTAAAAACATTATAATTACTTATCTACATATATATTATATCTTTAAAATAATATAATATATATAGAAAATAATATCAAAGTGAAATGATTGAATAAAATAACACATAAATAGAAACAAATCATTTTAATGTAATGTAGTCTTAAATTCTTTTGTATACTTCCAAAAATTTTGAAGAATCATAGAAATCAGAATTAAAGTAAACTCCATTTGTTTTTGCTTCTTTTTCTAATACTTATACTGGAACTCTGATGTCACCATTATAATTTTTAATATTTTAGTAATAGTCTTTCTAAAATGAATATTAAAATAAGAAATACCTATTATCTATACAATTTATTTAACATATTTAATAGAAGATCAAAGGAATCTTCATTAAATGTCAAATAATCACTAAATTTACGTCTTAATTATCTAGCCACAGAGTATTTTTGAGATTAAAGGAAACTCTCTAACATTACTTTAATTGCAACAGAAATATCAAAATCCATCACATTATTTCTTAAATGTAATCTAGCATGAGCTATTAAATATTAAATTATAAATTACCTTCAGCCATTCTTATGATACTTTCTAAATGTCTAATAGCAATATTAATACCACCACATACTTCTGATTCTTTTCTCAATAAATAATAAAATTTAGATATCTTTTCATGATCTACATTTTATAATTTTGGTCTAATGTGTGTACGAGCATACAAGATATATTTTTTTAATAATTCTAATGGAATTACTTCTTCTTATGTCTATTTGCTCTCCTTTACAAAATATCCTTTTATTTATTGACTCCATTCTGAATCAGGATCATTATTTAATTCATATGCAGCCATAGGATGATGTCTAATATGACTATTGATCACAAATGAAGCTAATCTATCATCTGCCTCTTTAATTACTTCATCTTTTACAACACATAAAATATCAAATCTACTCAAAATTGGATCAGTTAAATCAACATTATCATGAAAAGATTACTAAGAATCATATTTACCACCTACTGGATTTGCTGCTGCAATAACACTACATCTGGCTTAGAGAGTAGTAACAATACCAGCTTTTGAGATAGAGATACTTTATTATTCCATAGCTTCATGTATAGATGTTCGATCATGTTCATTCATTTTATCAAATTCATCAATTAAACAGATTCCTTTATCAGCTAACACTAAAGCTCCTCCAGAAATACTCCATTCATTTGTTGAATAATCTCTTTAGACAGAAGCAGTTAGACCAACAGCAGATGCACCTTTACCTGTTGTGTATATTGATCTATAGAATGTCTTTTGTACATTCTTCAAAAATTAAGATTTAGCAGTACCAGGATCTCCTAATACTAAAACATTAATATCTCCTCTGATTCTATGTTTTCCTTATATATCTTTGGCTTCTCCTCCAAACATAGCTAAGGCAATAGCCATTTTAACATGTTAATGACCATAAATTGATGGAGCAACAGAGTTATATATTAATTTATCAATTTTAGGATTTTATGACAATTTTAAGATTTCATCTTTAATTTTCTTATCTATATTCAAAGATTCACTTTCATCTTTTCTTCTTATATAATTACTTTCAATGATTGTAGAATATAAAGGGAATCCATGTTTTACATTAAGAGCATAATCATATCTTTAAGTATAAACTCCTGTGACTTCAATTTCATCACCAGGTCTTGCTATATCAATTTAATCTCCCAAAACAATAACTTCTTTTTATCTAGGTACTCTTCCTGCTGGTACTTAACCTGGAGATTCTTAAAGTGTTAATCTTTAAAAGTTTCTATACACTAATTGATTATATAATTTTTCAAATGGACCACTACTTTGACATTAAATACAAACACCTAATTAAATACTATCATTATTTTCCAAATAAAATGGTCCTTTTTTCATTCCACACTTAACACAAACATATGTAATTTCTTTCAATTAAGAATATACAGCACTTCTTCTAGTAACAACTCCAATAACACGAATAAATTTATCCAAATGTTTATATCGTAAATCTCTAATAATATCTACAACTGGAAGATTTGTAATTCGTACAAAGATTTCTTGATGAATATTATGATAATGATTAAATCGCTTATTAACTTCAATTCTTGCAGCTTCATTTAAATGAGGTAAAATAATCTTTGGTTCTTCTGCTACCCATAATGCAATAGTAGCATTAGCACTCACTAAATCAGGATACAAAACTTCAAGTGATTATTTATTCGCTTTACACATTTCCTTAATTAATTAAATATAGATTGGTTCTTAATCAGATCCTCTTTTACATTCATTTAAAATTTTTCTAAAAGCTCTCTTAATCCAAGCCTCTAAAAAATATATATATAAATATAATACTTGTTCTATCATCTTTAATCCACTCATTCAATTTACCTCTGCATTCTTCAATATTTAAATATCTTTCTTCTTCAACTACATCTGTATCCTCCTCTTCAAAAGGATCTTCTATATAAACTCTTTCTCCAAATTAATCTAAATCATCATCTTCAGAATCACTCAAATCTTAAGCAGCTCTAGGAATTCTTCTGTCTGCCATATTTATTCTTCTCCTCCTTTCAATTTCTTCCTCTGCTCTTCTACGTTATTCAAAATCCATATCTCCATGCATCTCTTCATCATCTATTCCCTCTGATTCATATCTATCTAATTCAGGTATAGGTTTGTAGTCATTTATCATGTTATCATTAATCAATTCCTCTCCTGAATCTTCTTCATCTGGAGTTCCTTCTGAAGATTATACACCCACTTAATCCTCCTAAGCCTCCTCATCTGAACCTCTCTTTTTTTCTTCTTCTTATTATCCTCTTCTTGGTCTTCTACTCATTACTTTTAATTACTTTATTAATATTCATTAATTTCAATCCATCCCAAATATAAATATTCCCGCACTACATATTTTTGGCGCAATTATATATGTCAATTTCTTTTACTATTAAAATTACAGAAAACTATCTTGTTTTTATAATATTATATCTCTCTACATACTCTATTGCTAAACCTCTAATATTAATTTCATCTTTATTTAACTTCTTAATACATCTATTTACTCTCTTGAATTCTATTACTATTTCCATCTAACAAATCCTACTTCCTTTTTTTTGTCTAATAATATATATTCTCATATAAAAATGTAAAAAGAACTTATGCATTAAAAAGTGGATTAATAATTTCTAGAAAGTCATTCATTCTAATTTTTATCGTTAATCCATAATTTAAAATATGAGTGATAATATATTAGTATATTTGAAAGTTAAACCAGATTATGAAGATGAAGGGGGACTTACTATTTAAGAAAATACAGTTAAAGTAATCTCACAATCATCCTTTGAAGAAAAGACTTATTAATTTAATGCCATCTTTTAAGAGAATCACGAATTACAACAACATTGCATTCCCATAATTGATTAAGCTATAAGAAATCAATAGAATGCTTGCATTATAACTTATGGATAAACATAAAGTGGAAAATCTCATGCCTTAGGCTTTTCACTCCATAATGAAGGATTATTACATACATTCCTTTAATATCTGTTTGAACAAATGTAAATATAATAAGTGTCTATTTCAATGCTCTAATTATATATGCAATCAGCTATTGATTTATTAAGCTAAGATAAAACTCTTAAAGAATTGAGAATAAGAAATAAGCAGAATGAAACTTATGTTGAAAATTTAACTGAGGTACTTGCACAAAATTATCAAGAATCCTTACTTATATGTTAAGAAGGAATCTAAAAAACATAATTCTCAAAATTACATACTATCTTAACACTTAAAGTTATGAAATCTAAAATTCAATTTGTTGAAATTTTAGGTAACAATTCCATAAATGCAAAATCTCCATAATCTAGTAATTGCATCACAGCTCTACTTAAAGTTTTCAGTGCCCTTCTCAAACAATAATAAGGAACTTAATAATAAGTATTTATTCCTTTTCGAGATTCTAGTTTAACTATGCTTCTTAAAAATTAATTAACACCTCCTTCAAAAATAATTGTTATTGGTACTATTCTTCCTAAAAATTCTATTGAAACTAGTTAAACTATTAAAGCATTATCTTCATGTATTAAAGTATATCCACCTTAAGACAATATTAATAATACTACTTATCATAACAATGCATCCAAGGCTAGAAGTGTAACACCAACAATTACTAAACAAAAACCATAAGATATAATTGTTAATAATGGATAGTAATAATAATAATAATAATCTAATTAATTATAATATAAAGAATTAAGTGAATATTTATTAAAATTATTAACTAAAATAAATTCACATGCTTGTAAACTTATAAATTAAGAATGCTTATAACATATTGATATAAATTAAAACTTAGATAAAATAATTTCATAAGTTCAATAAGTTTCACATTAATTATTATAAATTATAAATGGAAAAATAACATCTTAAATAAATTAGGCTAAAACAGATGGTTGGTAAAAGGCTTTAAAATTTTTATACCATACTTATGAAGAAGAAATATAACGTGAAGATAAATTACTTAAAGAAAAATTATTATATATTATAAATGAAGAAGAACAATATGATTTGGATAATCTTAGGAAGATTTTATTTCCTCCTAAATAAGAATATACAAATTCTTTGTTTAAAACACTTACAACACTGAGAAAATATACAAACACTATTCAAATTCCACTTAGTCGAGAAAATTACAGGAATTAGTTAACAAACGATATCATGTAAAAAGAATTAGGAGTAATGAGTAATTAGAATTATGAATCTAGTGGGAAATAAGAATTAACTAGTGTATAATGAAATATTATAATATAGTTCCAAAGTTATACAGAAAATTTAATGAGCAAATTTAAATGGTAAAGTGCCTAAAAGTAGGACTATTATGGATATTAACCTTGATTGATGCAATTTTGAAATTTAAATATTTTTACTTAATCATTTTTAATGGATATATATATATATAATATACAATTTAGTAATGTTTTGAACAAGAATAATTTGATCAACAGTTCTTTATGGTGTCAATATATTATTATTAATTTATATAAAAAAATTTTGATTTAATACAAAACAATATTATTTAACATAAAATTCAATTATTTTTTAATGATTAATTATTAAATAAATGAAATCAAAACCAATTTTAATTACTAGTTCAATTTTTACTACACCTAATTCTTAGTTTTGGAATTACAATGATATTTAAATAACAAAAGAAAATTTTAAAGAAGATTATTTTCTCTTTTTCTCGAATAAAAAACTAACTTATTTGAATAAACCTCTATAAAAAGCTGGTTCAATAATTAGAAAACAAAAAAAAAATGTAACTCAAACTTAAATTTATCCTAGGGTCTATATGTATGGTGTGATGTCAGTAATGCTATAATTGAGTAAATCGAGATTCAACATGTTGGACAAGGTTTAAGAATCACAATTAATTAATAAATAATTCAATTCTTTGGATATGTAGATGCATGGTTTAAGGATTTGAAGAAGTTTTGTATTCAAAGAAAAATTAATGAATTATATATAATCAATAATAAAATTGGATGTGGAAGTTATGCTGATGTATTTAAATTTAAAATTAGCAATTAGGTTTACAAAGTTACTAGAAAGTCTGATAATAAAGATTTTGCAGCTAAGATATATGATAAGTCATCAGAAAAATTCGATTCAGAGTGTATTATAAAAGAAATTGATATTCTAAGAAAAATGGATCACCCTAATGTAATTTCACTTCTGGAAACTTTTGAAACTTAAAAATATGTTTTTCTTATAACAGAACTCTTTATGTATGGAAGTTTAGATGATGTGATTTCCAATACACCATTTTCAGAAGAAGAAATTTTAAGAGGAATGTATAAAATAATAGATGCATTATCATATATTCATTCTAAGGGTATTATACATAGAGATATCAAACCAGAAAACATATTATTTCGAAAACCAAATCTGGATGATATTTTGATTTCAGATTTTGGTTTAGCTGATTATTATAACTCAGAAGGATTATATTAATATTAAAGATGTGGTACTCCAGGTAATATGGCACCAGAGATATTAAATGATAAATCCTATGATTATAAAATTGATTCCTATAGTGCTGGTTTAATCTTTTATTAAATGTTAAGTTTTGGAAAATCACCCTTTATTGTATAAGATTATCAAGAAACTTTAATTAATAATTAATAAGGTTTTATTGATTATTCAGAAATTAATGCATCACTATAAGCAAAGACCTTACTTTAATAAATGTTAGAAGCTGATCCAATAAAAAGATGCACAATAAATGATGCTAAATTTAATCCACTCTTTAAGAAATTCAATAGAATGACAATAATTATTAAAAGAAAACGTATTCTCTATGATCAAACAGCTTCAAGCTATAGTCCAAGAAGTACATCGATTTATTAAACTCCATCTAATTCTCCATAAATTCTTAAAAATCCTAAATATAAAAGTATAGGTTTAAATACTCTACATTGTTTACCTAATAGAGTAAGAAGCATGGATAGCTAACTCTTTTCTTCTCCTAAATCATGCAATTCTGGAGGAAATAATGCAAAAACTTAAAATAAGTAAAGAAATCGGAATTTTAAGATAAATGTGAAAAATAGCATTTACCAAAGCATGAGCTCAACAAAAGCCATTTGAATCATTGATCAACTTATTATGATTAATGAAATCTAAATTTATATTAATAAATATAATAAAATAATATATATTATTATAATATTATTATCTTATTAAACATTTAGTATGGTTGCAAATAAACAATCATTATCAGATTTAGATGATGAATAAAATTTTAATTTATTATAAAAAATTTAAAATAAATAGAGAAAAACTATGATGATAGATATACTATTAAGAAAATACACAATTAAAATAGGATAACTTAAAAACAATTAATACACAAATAATTAAGTGATTAATAATAAATCAGAAAATAAGATTGATAATTATGTATGTTAATTATATCTAAAAAATAATTATCATAAAATTTAATCAAAAAGATCTTGATCTATTTTTTTAATGATTATAAGACTAAAGATTAATTATACAAAGATAAATTTAATATTTAATTATTATATATCAAAGTTTTTTCAACAGATTATCTAATTTTTATACTACATCTATATCTACTTTTTCATTTAATTTATACAGAACTATTTCTAATATATATTGAATTCCACAAATTGATAAAGCTTTATCAAACAAATAATCATCTCCATTAATAGATGAAACTATAATTAAATTTCCCAAAATAAAATAGAAATAACCAACAAGTATGAATATTAAGTCAATATTCTCAATCAATTTTTTCTTAAGAATTCTTTAAGCTAATAAATATGCACACAAGAAAATGATTAATTATATTAAATTATAGATTGGAACAATTAATAAACCCAGAACCCAAGATGATTTATTAAAGTCTTCTATACCATAATAGGCATTCATGATTGAAATAATCATTAGATTATTAGAAATATATAATAGGTATTATCCAATCTTAATTAAATCAGAATCTAGAATTTAATTATTAATAAAAACTTTGTTTATTCTATTTGAATTATTTGTTGCTAAATAGATAAAGCTCAAGTAAACCAACTTACTCTTATTTTTTTAGACTAATTTTGGTAATATTACTGTCTTGCTTATCTTCTTAATTATCATCCTAACCTCTATTATTGATGGATTCTATTTCTTTTGGTATTTATTTTTATTATTCAAGTTTTTATAAATATTTTTACCAAGAGTACCCTACACTAATTAGAATAGTGTATGCTAATAGTAATGAAAAACTTTCGACAATCTCTTAGTTCATAAATAATTTAATTAATGAATCTATAGGATTAAATTAATTGTTTAAGTAAATATATTATAAAATAAAATGAATAACAAAATTTTTCATTAAACCTTTTTAATTGATGTTTTTAAAACATAGTAACTATTGTAATTATTTGAATTTTTACCTATATCCTACATTAAAATTGTTTAAAATCGCTATTTCATTTCGATAATTATTCTTCAATTTAATATTTTAATTCTTCTATATTTTCAAAGAACTATGGAGAATAATCTCATTTCATCACAAAATTAATTTTGCTGTTTTGATTACTACTAAATTACTTATTATTATTATCCTTAAAATTATTTATTAATATTATGTAGTTTCTGATTTTTCGAATGATAATCCAGTTTACAATACATTAATTGTAATTATAAACTTTCAATAGATAATTAATTATATTCCTAGATCAATAATTATTAAATCTTCTTAAAGTTCTTTACTTTATTGTATAATTTTCATTCTCATTTAAAAATTAACTAAGATTCTTTATCACTTTAGACAGCATTTATTTATATATAATCTTCATTCATAATTATAATCTTTGATAAACATTTTTATATTATCAGATTTCTTCATTTGTTCTAATATTTTATATTTTCAAGTTAAATTTAATGTTTTTGAAATAAAAGAATATATATAAATTATTAAATTATTATAATCTCAGCATTTAAAATTAACATATTCTAATTTATTCTATTTTCATAAACTATTTTATAAAAAGCAAACTAAAATTTTTTTAACATCAATCTTCTTAATACAAGTTTAAAATTAATCAATATGATAATTTCTTAAGCATTTCTTTAGTATATTTTATGTTAATTCTATTAATAAATTTGAAAGTAATTTATAATTCTATTTGGTTACGAATAAAACAATTAAAAATGTGTATTTTTTCAATATTTCTTCTTGTAAAAGATTGTTATATTGTAACTAATATAATATTTCTCTGTATTGATTTATATTTGAAATGTTAATTTAAAATTCACCTTCTTCATCATCCTTTTAACATTATTTCTATTAGCTATTTTGAAGTATTTGATTTTTAAATAGACATAATTTCTTAAATTGTATAATTCTGTTATCGATAATTTTAATAAAAGATTATAATCACTCTTCCTTTTGATGTAAAGGAATCAATAGTTCAGTTTTTAAACAAATTAATTTATATTATATTAAATAATTGTAATATAAAATTATAATCTAAAAATAATAAAAATTTATAAAATTCCCAATTATAGTTTAATTTAGTAAAAGTTATCAAATATTTATAATCCAAAAGTTAATATAATCTTTATTTATTCACTCTATCCTAAATTGCTTTATAGATATACAGTATATATCATAGATCAAAATAGTATTAAAAATGAATATTTATTTAATTATTTTATATTTATTTTAATTAAAAACAATATTAAATTAATTTTAACATGGAAGGGAATACTTTACAAAAATTATTATAATTTATATTAAATAATAGACTTTGGATTAAAAAGAAAATTTATATATCATCTTTTAAACATAAGAATTTTTATATTCCAATAGATAATATATTATTAATGGTATGCCTCTTTTAAGTTTTTATTCTTTATTTTAAATATAATACTATTAATGGGAGGATATTAAGAATTAATTAAAAATTCATACTCAAAGTCTGTTTTTTTAATATTAATATTAATTTATAGAAATGAAATCCTTTTAATGTACAGATCATAAAAAAGATATTGTATATTATTGTAATGACCAACATTGTGAATAGAGATGTTTATGTGCAGAATGTGAACATGAACATGATAAAACTGCTGTACAAAATTTATTAGAGGGTTACAATATAAAAGAACTGGTCTAAACCTTCTAAAGTTTTAAATATATTATAAATGATTTAATGACAAAAATGGAATAAGAATTGAGCTAACACCTTTAATAAATAAAATAACCTTAAGCAACTGCTTAGAATTTAGAATAATTTGATAAATAACTGAGTGAAATCTCAAATATTTAAAATACATTAAAAAATAAAATAAAAAATAGATTGTAGCACATAATC